AATTGATAAAACCTGGGCAAGATCAACATTTTTAAAAGTTAAAAAGACAATAAGTGTCTTGAACAATGTGTGCCAACACAATTTAGAGAAAATGCTCAATGTATTTATTGAAAGATAAACTTTTGCTGATTAAATTTTAAGGTACTGTCTTGGCTAATTTTCTCTTGTTGCTAGGACGAAATACACAATACCCAAAATTAAGGAAGGAAAGGTTTGTTTAGCTCAAAGTTAGGGGAGGTTTCAGTCTGCACTGAGCTGGCTCCAAGGCAGAGTGGCACATGGCAGAGGGCAGCAGATCATGGTGGTAGAAAACAGCAAAGAGCAAAGGGAGTAGCATTGGCTGTGGCAGCTAGCAAGCATCTCTCCCTTCCTTATATTGTATGCACATTATGTACCCCAGGGCAGGTGTAGCACTCACATCCATAGTCCCCTCACTGGATCATGAATTAATCACAAACTCTAGAAACTACCCCATGACTGCATGAGACTTTGGGGGACACCTAGATACAAATCATAACAGGTATTTATTTGGACAGTGATGCAAGAATTGGGCAGTTCCAAACCAGAAGTGGTTCAGTATTCTCTCAGAGGGAGTTGAAGGGGGTTACCAGTTCTTGGATAGTGTTCTATAAAGTCAGTTCTGTCAGTTTTTGTGGGGTGAATCAGAAGCAGAGCAAAGAAATTATTTGATGGGTTAAAATGTGAGTGGTTGCCTTATCTGGACTGTCTAGGTGAGAATTTCAAGACAGTATAACCTTTAATTGCTAAGTTGGGCACTTGTGTTTAGCTGAACGTTAGTTTATTTACAAGGGCATCAGAATTTACAAAGACATTAGAGTAAATATCTTGTCACTTTATTAGGGTATTTTAACATTTGAAAAGCACAACTAACCAAAACTGACTCAAAATGAAACATACTAGCATTATATATAGTACAAAAGTAGAAATTATTGTAAAGAATGTCCTTGAACCTGGTGATCCTATTGAATGTTCTTGAACAAAGGGATCCTTTTGCCTCAACTTCACAAGTGATGAGGCTCCAGCCACCATGCCTAGCTTCAGATGGTTTATAAGTGAGTTCTCTTAAACATTTTAGGAGGAAATAACAGTCTTATACAAACTCTTGGCTTATGATGCTAGTATAACCCTGACATCAAATCCTGACAGAGACATTATAATTACAAATCAGTGTCTAATATGAATATAGACACAAAGATACATATGAAAATACTAGCAGACTGAATCCAGAAATACATAAATTATTGGTACTTCATGACTAAGTGGGATTTATTCTAGGAATGCTTGGTTGGTTTCAATATTAAGAAATCAGAAACAAGGGTTGGAGATGTAGTTCAGTGTAAAGTGCTTATGTAGGATGCATGAGGTTCTACATTCAATCCCAGCACTAACAAACAAGAAAGAAAAATCAATGGAATTAATAGAATATATGATCACCTCAGTAGATACTGGATAATTTTTTAAATTAAAAAGTTTGGAAAAACTCAAGCCAGGAATGAGAGAACTTCATTAGTCTAATCAAGGGCATCTAAATAAAGCTTAGAGCTAAGCTCACAACTTTAGTCAAAACTGGTCATTTTTTTCATGAGATTAATTGTAAGAGCAACAGTTCTCATCATTTTTATTTAGCTTTCTATTGGATGCACTAGATAATGCACTAAGGAAAGAAAATGAAGCAAAAAAACGAAGAGTAGAAAAAAAAAGAAGCAAAACTGCAAGGAAAGCAAATGAAATCAAAGGTTGGGAAGGAAGAAGTAAAACTATTTGCAAATGACATGAATTTTTACCAGAAAATTTTAAAGAAATCTAGCAATGTTACATGATAGAAGTTAAACAAGTCACTTGCATTTCTAAATTGTAACCACAATTCTAAAATGAAATTTGAAAAATAATTCCATTTATAGTAGCATAAAAATGACAATAAATATAATAAGATCTGTATCCCTTGACCCCAAAACTAGGTAGGCAGGGCAGGAGGATGGGAAGTTCCCACCCAATCTAGGCAATTTAGGGATTTAATGAGATCCTATCTCAAAAAGTTACAAAAGGGATGCAGTTGTACCTTAGTGTAAGGCTCTGAATCAATCCCATGTACATAAAAAGAAAAGGAAAGAAAAAGACAGAAAAAAAAAGAAAATCTGTACTTTTAAAACTATGAAACATTGTTGAGAGAAATTAATAACCTAAGTAATCAGAAAGAAATGCCATGCTTATGGATAAGAAGATGAAATATAGTGAAGATGTCATTCCTTTGGGAATTCCATCTGTTGATTCAATTCAATATTGATAAAAATCCCAACAAATTGATTCTTAACTTTGTATGGAAATATAAAGAACCTAGAATAATCAATACAATCTTTGCAATGTGGAACAAATTTGGTATACCCACTACCTGGTTTGAATATTTACTTGAAATCTGCTGGAACCAAGAAAGCAGAATTGTTACAGATATTAGGCAATCAAATGGAAGAGAATATTTAGGCATAGAACTACACCCAGTGGATTTCTTTACATCAGTCCCAAGGCTTTTCAGTGAAGGAAGAAAGTTTTTACCAAATGGTGGTAGTACAATTAGAAATTTTGAAAAAAATGAGAGGACCTTGATGTCACATCATTACAAAATTAGAGCTAGTCATAGACCTAAAAGTGAAAGCTAAAAATACAATCTGAAAAGAAAATATGTCTTGTGTTTTTGTTTTAAAGTGAGTGGAAGGAGAGTGAGGAATTTAAATTTGTTACATGAATGGATTGGATCTCCAGGTGTAAGCATGTCTCCTCTGACGGCACATTGTTGAAAATAAGGACATTGGTAACTAAATTCCTTTAATAGCAGAAAACTGCTTTATTTCTCTACTGGTTAAGTTACTGTAAAAGAATATTAGCATTGGGGTTGCTCTGTTGGAGAAATGTACATGGTTAAGTATAAATAAATATGCAAGGGCCAGCCAAATAGCTTAGCGGATTAAAGTGCCTGCAAGCAGGTGCAGGGGCCAGGAGTGCCATTCCCAGGCCTGTCATGCTGGCCCCCGCCCCAGGGCGCATTGAGAGGGCAGTTGAGACTGGGCATGGTGGTGTGGTGCGCCTATAATCCCAGCTCTTGGGAGGCTGTAAACAGGCAGATCACTACGAGTCTGATGTAGTAGTGAGACCCTGAACACCCTGTAGACCGTGCCCTATAAAAAAATACAACAAATAAATAAATATGCAATCCTTTAAAAAGAAAGGAAATATAGAATACTTTCATGACCTTAGGGTGGGTAAAGATTTATTAATAAAAAACCCCTGAAAAATTAGATTTCAATAATACTAGCTTATTAATTAAAGGGCATCTTTAAGAAAATGAAATGGTAAGCCACAGACTGGCAAGATATTTTGAGTATGTGTATTTGACAATTTTGTATCCCTGATATATAAGTCCTATAAGTTTATTTAAAAAACAACTCCAAAATCTGGCAAAAGATAGGAGGAAATGCTTTACAAAAGATGTGATATGAAGAACCCTAAGAGCATGAAAATGTGCCTGACATCACAATGTGGGAAATTTACAATTAAAATTATAATCTTACACGGTCCAAGAAGCAAGTTTAACAATAAAGAGTGACATGTGTGTTTATCTAACAAAGTAGTATGTACTGGAATTTTCTTCTGAGAGTGGAACTGCAAACTAGTATGACCTTTTTATTTTTTTATTTTTTAAAGCATGCAAAATGGTAAAAAAAAATTAGAAATAATGCAAAATTTCATTAAACAAAGTAAAAGGAATTCAACAATAGTTGTTGTATTGCATAATGTTAAAAAATTTAAACATTAATTGCTCCTTTCAGTAGATTAGCAGAAATCTGCAGTACAGTTATCCAAACTATCCTGCATATATACATAAATATATCTTTGCCTCTTCTTTCTTTTGTCCTTTTCCTCATCCCAGTTTTTCCTTCCCATTGAACAGATTCTTTCCCTTCACAGTATCTATTATGGATTTTATTTACTCTTTCAGATTCACACACTAGCAAGAAAATACAATAATTTCACAAACAAGTCTGATTTATTTCACTTACCAGTATGGTCTCTAGTTGCATCCAGTTACCTGTAAAAGCCTCAGATTTATCTTTTTTTATAGATACCCCATTGTGTAAAAATATCACATCTTTTTTATCCATTCTTCGTTTGATGGGCATTTGAGTTGCTTCTAAGACTCAGCAATGACAAATTGCGCTGCTGTATACATGGGTGCACATATATTGCTGTGGTATGTTTTCAGTTCTTTTTGAAAAATACATAAGCGGGGAATAGCTAGGTTGAATGGGACCTCCAGTCCTAGGTTTTTGAGGAATTTCCACGCTGATTTCCACAGAGGTTGTACCACTCTGCCTTCCAGTAGTGAAGAAGGGCTCCTTTTCCCCTACAGCCTCTCCAGCATTTGCTGTTTGCATCTCTCAAATAACCAATGATTTTGAGCATTTTTTCATATAATATATTTATTTGGCATTTGTAGTTCTTCATTTGTGAAGTGTATAATTCATCTTAGATGCCCGTTTTTGGTTTGGGTCCATGAATTTTGAAGGCCATTTTAAAAAAAAAAATTCTTTGTATGTTCTAGATAGAAGACACTTGAGGAACATGGTATGGTCATTTTAGAAAACAAGTAGCATTTTCCTATGATATTAAAACATACATTTACCATGTGGGTCCTCATTTCGAAATACAATACTTGTTACAGATGTAAAAGATGTTTCAAGATTCATCAAATTGCACACTTAAACCGTGAGCAGTTGGCTGTACCTACACTTGTTTGATATAAAAAACAAAATGATGAAAATAAACGCAGTTCTCAGCATTGCACTTCGGTCCCACGAGGTCAGTTCCCTGGCTGGGCTCTTCGGGGAAAGGGAACCGAGCTGCACGGAGTGCTGAGCGCCCCAGCCCCCAGCTCTTCCTCCGCGGCTGGTTGCAGTTTCGTTTTTTTTTTTTTTCCTCTGGTTAAGTTCCCAGGAAGCTCCGCCTCTCAGCCTAGCCTCAGCCGAGCCGCACCCTCGTCCTCAGTTCCAGCGCAGCCAGGCCAAGGTGAGAGACATGACGGCGGAACAGCGGCACAACCTGCAAGCGTTCAGCGACTATGTCAGGAAGAGTCTGGACCCCACGCATATCCTTAGCTACATGACCCCCTGGCTTCGAGAGGGTAAGTGTTCCCCAGGGATCCCCAGTCGCCCTACTGAGGCAAGAATACTGTTGAGGTCCTATTTACCCCTTTCTTTTCTCCTTTTAAGTCAGTTTGGATAACCAGACTTGAAAGAACACTGAGCTTGTGGCAAGATCCCAACAGCATTTTAAACGAAACATCTGGGGAAAATGGTTTCTGTGAAGTGGAGTAATTTGCTTTTGGGTGCAAATCTGCTTAGGTTCAAAACTGGAGCAAGAAGTCGTCTTTCATTTATTTCTGTTAATCTTTTAGTCAGCCTTGTACTGGCCTCGGAGATAGAGAACTAAGATTCAGGCTTCTCTTAATATATTCTATAGCTCTTTTGAGAGATGGGTGGCACAAAGTGAGAACATGTGTCCAAAAATGATTAAAATACCACCGTACATAATGCTAACCAGCACAAAGGAAGTTTCTAACTCTGTCAGTTCTCATTTGCACTTTCAAAGTAACAAGAAGGTTGAACTGAGCAGTACTTTTCCCCAGATCTAATGCATGTAGTCCTTGGTAGAAGTGTTTTCATCTATGTTCTAAGACTTAGGGCAGTGGGAAATAGCCACTTAGTAAATTGTGTTGAATGATTCTTTGCTTCCCACAAGAGGAGAGAAAGAGAGGTGGTTCCTGTAAAGAGTCTCTGGCAGTTCCTTGAGTCTCCAAGTGCCTTCCTTTGGACATTGTCTTAGAATAAAGCAGGTAACTTGATTATTTGAATGGCTTACAAAACCACAGGATGTGGAATGAGGAATGAAAAAATAACCACCAATAAAAGTGAATCACTACTTTCCTGGTGTACTCCGAGAATAGTAATAAAATGGCATCTCTATGGAAGGGATCTCTTTTAGGAATCCTTGGATGAAGCATTATTATTCCAGAGTGAATGTCATTCTTTGTGCACTAGTGTTGATTGAATTCAGATATACACTTTGCGTCAGGCATTATATTAGGGTTAGAGGTAACTTACTAAATACCCATTAACTAATCAGAAGCATCACTTTATAGGCTGAGAAATCAGTGGTGTTACCAAGAAAATGGGCTTTCACTTTCTTGGTTCTCTGTTCTTTATATGTTTGATGAAAGACTTCAGTCAAAACACCTGGGCTGTGCAGAAACATAGGTAGAATTTATTGTAAAGTATACAAATAGTTATACCTTCAAGCAAAAAGATGGGTAGTGCCATGAAGGCATCCTTCACCAAGTTTGGGTTTGGATCCATTTTCTGTGCACCCAAGAGTTGTTCCTGGGGTCTGGGGAGGTGGGGTAATTATGATGCTCATAGACATTTTACCTAGAAGTTACTTAGGAATTGTTTCCTCTTTCTTTCTATATTTAGGACAGGATCTACCAGTTCTACAGGGTCTCACTATGTAGATTAGACTCATACTGATTCTCCTGTTTTCAGCCTCCCAAAGTGCTGGGATTACAGGTATATACCACCACGCTCAGTCTCATTTGCTGTCTCTGTGCACCCTGCAGGTGTGGCACACTGGGGATTGAACCCTGGCTGCTGTGCTCTGCCTAAGCAGGTGCTTTAGTCCACTGAGCTATCAGGCCCGCCCTAGGAATTGTTTCAAGGTAGACCTGTTTGTGGGTTTCAGGTTTTTTTTTTTTGTTTTCAATATTCCTTTGATGTCAAAAGCTAATCCTTATCCTGGAAGGTTACTAAGTGGGCAGTATTGAGTGTCTGGTGCTTTGGTGCCATCTTCTGGACTTGTACATGAGCCAAGCATTCACTATGTTGACAATTAGAATACAAAGGACAAAGATGTGTACAAAATGTCTATTGTTGGAATCTAAGGTAAAAGACAGGCTTAGAGTTAATGTGCATTATAGCATAAGACCTCCCTTCATCAAAGGCTGTTACAGAGAATAAGAAATAACAAGAAATTCTTCTTTGGCAGGTTGAGAATGGCAGTAAAGAGGGACTCAAGATAGCAAAAGCAGTCTGAATTATTAACTCTCCCAAACATTTTCTCCTCTACTGAACTCACTGTGGTTTTAAGAAAATTATCATTACCTTGTAGCAGCAAATACTGGGGCTAGCTAGTAGGAGGATGGACCTTACCATGGACAAAGTATAAATCTAAACTGTTGCCAGTACAATAAGGTTGTATACCTGGGAAGGACTCTGCAGTGACTGGGACCAATCTGGCCTTACATACAGTGTGTCACTGGTCGTTAGTGACATGTTTAAGGGGAAATTAAGCAGCAGAGAGTGATAAAATAGCTATAAACAATAACTTTAGGAATAAGATGGACTGATTCATAGGAATAGAATAGGGTTGTGGGCCCAGGAAGGCTGGGATAATGATAGAATATGTTGTTAATTATATCCATGTATACCCTCCCTCAAGACACAAAGAGACAGAAATCCTTCTCTCTTCTGTTTGTAGATGAGGTGCAGTATATCCAGGCTGAGAAAAACAACAAGGGTCCGATGGAGGCTGCCTCCCTTTTTCTCAAGCTCCTGTTAGAGCTCCAGGTGGAAGGCTGGTTCCGTGGCTTTTTGGATGCCCTAAACCATGCAGGTTAGTTCATTCTTCTTACCTACTAGAGTAAATTACTTTGAACTTTCAGAATAATGTAAAAGGGAAAAATTATTAATTCTGAGGTACCCATATCTGGTTTGTATCTGCTATTCTGAGGCATAGTAAAGATTGTTTTCATACAAATAGTATAATTGTCTATCTGAAACAGAACAAAGGAATCTACAGAAACATTATTGTAACTTATAGAGGCTAGCAAGGTTATTGGCTATAAGACCAGTTGTATTTCTGCCCACAGAAAATGTAATCCAAAATGAAATGCCATTGATAGCAACAACAATGTAACATATAGAAGTATAAATCTGACAAGATATGTGTAAATTCTAAATGACAAAAATAATAAACAATGAAAAATATTAAACATGTCAAAGTATAGAAGTGAAGTCTTGATAGTGTACATATTTCAGTTCTCCTTACATTGGTCTATGAATTTAATGCAATTTTTTTTTTCCTTTGTATTTTAGGGAAAGGTCTACAGGGTGTTCAGGTTCTCACTAGTAGCCTGGACTTGTAATGATCTGCCTGTTTATAGCCTCCCAAGAGCTGGGATTACAGGCGTGCGCCACCATGTGCATTCTCAATTGCCGTCTCAGTGTGCCCTGGGGATCAGCCCTGGGGACTGCTTGCAGGTGCTTTAATCTGCTGAGCTATTTGGCCGGCCTTCTTAATGCAATTTTTTTTTTTTTTTGCTTAAAAAAAAATCTGGTTTTATTACTCCCAGCAGAAGGGGCTACATGGGGCGGTGGTGGGCTCGGCTCAGGGCCTGTGTGGGCTGGAAGGAAGTGATATCTGAGTATCTGGCAGGGGAAGGTGTAAGGCCAGGCCCAGGGACCTTCAGAAACGCTTCTGGGCTGACAGGA